CAGAGCATGCCGCTAGGCGTGCTAACTGCGGTATAGGGTATATCCCGTTCCCGCATAAGGATTTGATAGAAGCCATCCATCAAATCCATGGACGAAAAGATGGTACTCTTTGACATACCATCAATGATTACGTCCTTCCTCGGTATCGGCGTCTGAGCCGGTACCGTTGCAGCGTTCAATTTGTTGAACGCGTGCACTATCCGCCACCCTCCTGTTGCTTTTCGCACACAGAAGGTCGGAGAGCTATGTGGGGAAGTTGATTCCCTCACATGGCCCGCAGCTAAACGATCGGCAAAGAACTTGTCGATCGCAAGTACTTGTTCACGAGGCAGTGGCCACTGCTTCATGACACAGTACTTCGAGCCTGGTTTAAGCTCGACCTCGTGTCGAATACCTTTATCCTTCGGTAATTCGCACGGAACAGTTTCAGGGAATACATCCTTGAATTCAACCAAATCTTCATAGAGAGGATTTGTCTTGAGCGATTCCCACGATTGGGAGTCATATCGCTCAATTCGTGTCTTTTCATCGAGGACACTCTCGTCCATAGATGAACTACTGAGAACTCTCTCGTTCTCAGTAAACACTGCTGCTGACCTTATGTCGGCTACACACTCGTCGTCAGCGACGAGTACGCAGATCTGCTTGACTTTGCCACTACGCAGATCACGCAAGAACCTTTTATGTTCGATCGTTGGCAAATGAGTGATCTCCGAAGTTAACTTCGGAGGCGCAATCAGATCAAGTGTATAAGCGCCTACACTTGATCCGTCATTGACTAGTACATTCAATGTCTCTGTCATTTCCTGGGGACTTATTCCCTCAGGCTTCGAAGGACTTATTCCTTTGGCTTCCCGGGGACTTATTCCCGCGGGTTTCGGGGAACTTATTTCCGCCGTATTTGTAATCTTGGGACTTATTCCCTTTACTTCCTCTAGCTGGGGTTGCGCAACCACAGCGAGATCCTCTACGAAAGACTCTCCAGTCGATCTAGGATTATCGTTTCGCTTAACCTGAGCGATCGATTGTTTCTCTTCTAGATGTTCCCCGCTAGGGATACATCTTTGTCCCGGTCCACTCGACTTATTCGAGTGGTGGACCTTCGGCGCAGCCTGTGTTTCCTCACAGCCGCCGGAACTTTGCTCCGAAGTGTAACCGTTTGGTACACTAAGGTTTTGTGCAGTCGTACTAACGACCGTACCACAAGTGAGGCCATCGCACTCACTCGTAGTACATCCACACGCTTGTGGACGCTCCAAAACGTTCATCAGATGGCCATCTGATGAACAAGCGGCAGGCATCGTTACTGTTTGATGTTGCCAGTTTACCCGTGGTTCGTACCTTCTGAGCCACGGTATTCCAAGGATGACATCAAATTTGTCATCCAAATCCAATACGATAAAGTCATCGTCATATTGGGTATCTTCTAGCGTATAGTGGATCTTCACTATACGCTTCATGACGGTTACGGATGCGCCTGTCGCAAGACGTACCGTCATCCTCGTAGGAGGTGTGTCACATTCACTGAATTTAAAGTGACCACCTTCTAGCGATTGGCGTCGCACAAAATTGTTGGACGCCCCACAATCGACTAGAGCTCGAAGGGACAACTTATTCGTCACTTCGAGTTTCAAGGTAATGAGTGAGACCTCATTACCTAGAGCAGCAACGCACAACGTTTGTGTGTTGGGAGCAACCTTCATCAAGAGGCCTACAAATTCTCTTGACGTTGCTAGACCAGTAGGGTGCTCCGCACCTACTGATCCTGTCCGTTTTTGACGGTCCATCCCGTTGTTGCGTCTTTGCACCAACTGCGGACCCTCGTCCCTGCCCCTCTCTCATGGGTGGACGGTCACTACGCCCAGTGTCGCGAGACACTGGACGAGGGGCACTACACTCGTAAGCGTAGTGTCCTGTCTTTTGACATCTGTTGCATCTCTGCAACTTCTTGTAGCCTGTAGAGCGAGCCTTCTCGCTCTCTACATAACAGAGTTCCATCGGCTCTGGACCTCCGTTGTCATATCGTCTCGGTTGACGATATGATGTCGAGCTGGCGCGAGCCTGTCTCAGACTGAAGTCTTCCTGCTCCGCAATGGAAATGGCTTGTTCTAGTGAATCTAGTTCAAGCCGGAACAGGTGAGTCTTGACGGGACCATCCGCAAGACCCTGCATGAACACCGAAACCAACGTGTGTTCATCCACCGGATTGGAACTTATACAACTCGTAAGATGTCGTATATGTTGAGCGTAAGCGTGCACATCACGCTTACCCTGCTTGAGCTTCAAGAGTTCGGTTCGAGCCCTGAACTCAGCTCTAGGCGGTTCAAACGTTTGTCTGAGCCGCGACTTGAAGACTTCCAACGACCCAAACGCATATGGGTCGTGCAACTTGAGCCCCAGTGCCCAAGTCTTGGCACGTCCTGCCAGATTTGACTGGGCAAATGCAACTTGCATATCCCCGTCGTCGATGCGACGCGCCCTTATGGCGTCATCCAATTCGACGAACCATCTCAAGAGGGAGTCCTCTTCGACCCCCCTATACTTTGAGATGTCAATCTTCAAAGTCTCGGGTCGACGCGAGTGCATCGACCCGCCAGCAGCAGCCTGCTGCTGTCTCAACAGTTCAAACTGTTGAGCACCTTGTTCTCTCAACAACTCTGCTTGTTGAGAACCTTGTTGGTGAAGCAAGGCTACTTTCTCGCGTTCAGCGTCAAGTTCATTTTGAATGAACTTGGCGATAGTAGCATGTTGGGCATCTCTATTGAGAGCCTCTAGCATGACGCTAACAGCATGGATGCCCATGGTCGAACCCATTCGTTCAACCGCATCCCATTCGACATCGCTCAAATGGGAGTAGCCGTCACGCGTAGCGTGAAAGCTTTGGTCATCTTCATCATCCAACATATTCATGTTGGATGTGAACGCGGTCCTTGGACGGACTACGAAGTGCTACCAGGTGTAACGGGGCACCCTGAAGCTTGTACTGGTGACAGTACAAGCTACTTATTCTGATGACAGAATAAGGCGGTGCCTCGTAACTTCACGTACACTCGTACGTGCAGAGGAAGACGGTAAGAAGAAGCGAGTACTTGGTTAGAGTAAAAAGTAGAACTGTATTTATAATAGTTAATGTCTGCAATAAATCACTATTTATCTTCATCTAACTATGTCTAAATACAAATGTGTAAATCAGTTATCTGCTCACCACTCATTGCGTGCGTCTGTCGTGGCGCGTCTTCGTTGGTTGATATAATGGCCTATATCAACCAATTAGGAACAACTCGTAAGTGCTACAGAATATTTGTCCTTATGACAATATTCCGAGAATATAACTCTTATAGTTATATTCTATTAACAATTTCTTATAAATTGTTATGTAATGATTCACCCCGTTACACCTACCACAACATCTCTTTAGACACTACAACAAGCTAATTCAGACGTCTTGTCAAATTACATCAATAGACGTTGGCACGAAAGCATGGCGGACGATGTGGTATGCTTCACAAAGTTTGCAGAATTGTATGCTGCCCGTCTTGGCCACACCGGGAGGCACTACGGGTTTTTCACCACTGCAAACGTCGATGATACAATTGTTACCAACCACATAAAGAGCAGTTCTGTGTAGTATAGATTTGTTCGAGACTGCGAGCTCTTCCCGAAGTCGCAATACGAAGCTTATGACGGTCAAAAATGCCCGGTCAGAAGCAAGGACTGAACGAAAAGCGACAGGCCTGTCAACCTGTAGCTTTCGATTGCGAAACTCTTGAATGCAGCTGTCATACTCAAAGCATGTTCGAAAACGAGTTGGATGCAACGCATCCAATGCTTCAATTGTTCGTGTGCAAATAGCTCACGTAAATGCTTCAATTATTCGTGTGCAAATAGCTCACGTAAATGCTAGCGCACGTCCGGGGACAAGAACGACGCTGTGAACGGTGATCTCCAGCAGGAACGATGAGAGAAATGGGCATTTTAGCGGTGGATGCGATCGTGCGGTGTACAGCACAATGACACTGATTCCGGACATTGAGCCCCTTCTCACAAACCCGAGGCGAAAATAGCCGGGTGAAGTGGTGCCACCTTGTGACGGAACGCTTCTGTCCGGGAAGGGAGGTAAGAGGGTTGTGACACGCGTGGTGGCGATATCACATGTTGTGGAAGGCGCGCCCGTCCAAAGCAGGAGTCGACATTGTGGGGAGCTCGCAAGGGTTTACACCAAGGTCAGTAACTATTTTCGACGGTCGTCATTCGTATCAAGGAATGACGACAAAGGAAACAGAATTTGCGCGGACGAAGCCGGTCCTTATACCATGTATCTGAGCACAATGAAAGGCGTATCATTTCCAACCAGCGGAACACGCACGCCATGGCTCTCTATTCACATTAGACAAAGCTACGATGAACAGCTCAACTGGCATACGTTAGGTCATGATTGTTTAAAAATGCATGAGTGAGGTGCAGGTGACGAGGTACACATTGCCGAGTTGAATTTCGATGGGCCTTGTCGTAGGCCATCTACGTTAAACATTAAACCTCTTGTACAGTTGTCTCCTTCCAGCATCGTAAATACTAGTAGTCTTTCCAGAGGTGTAGAACTGTTGAAACAGTCGATGAGTTCGTAACAAATGGAAAACAAACCATTATTTGAGAAAGTTTTGATAAGCATCGTGTTGTACCAAGCAGATGTTAGATATGCCACCACTGAGCTCATCTGACTCGCCAGAGAACTTAACCTGACTACTCATTGGGAGAATGGAAAGGCCCACTGGCGCCCAAAGTTGTTAAGACTGGGAATTGGAAGCTCGAGTCAATTCTCCAGGTAAGTGTTAATGCTGGCCCTGCAATTAAGTCACACATAACCTGATAGTCAGTAGCTGCTCGTGCACGCCGGAACGATTGAGACCGCAACCACTTCATTCACGATTGGATGAGCGTCAGGGTAATGGTACTTATCATCGATGGATGCAGATAGTTTTGGGTTTGAGCCACCCGCTCGTTTACTCAATTGAATCTTCTGCGTGATCGTATTCTTGCGAAAGAATCTCTCCAATATGTTGCACATATTCGGGCGAAACACCGCAGCAGCCGCCAACGATACTGGCGCCGTCGTCAATCCAGCGCATGGCAAACTTGCCAAAAACCTCCATGTCCACGGCTGACTGGAGCGCACCTGGCACCAGTGATTCCTCCATGGCACCTGCCTTAGACTTTGGCGAAATGCGGTCGCCATAGCCACCCACACGGATTTCGTGCTTTTTCATCATGTCCACCAGCTCAAGGTCCTCCGTCATTTGCTTGATAGCTTTCGTTATATCCTCCGGCTGTGAGCAGTTGAACAAGATGCCTTGCAATAGATCATCTGCGCCTTCATGTTCGTCCGGAGACAACTCCGAACAACTAGTGCAGAACTCAATCAGACTTCGGACGCTGCCAACCACTTCTTCACCACTGCGCAGCTGACCAGTGCTATTGAGAGCAAACGACACTATAACGGGCATTTTCAGTGGTCGCACACCCTCAAATGCCAGCTTCGCTTCAGCAAGTGACGACATCGTCTCGGCTAGAAACACGTCAACCGATGGGAGCAAAGCCTCGCCAATCAGCAAGTACGTATCGAGTCCTTCTTGGTGCTCAATTGTACGGTCTGACCGGAGGCTGTACATCAGTGGTGGTAGAGATCCACAAATTTGGACTTGACTTTTCACGTCGAATCGCGCGCGAGCATCAGATGCCAATTCCCCTGCAGTCTCCGTGTACGCGCGTATTTCGTCCGAGGTGAACCCCACGCCCGGGGCCACGTAGTAATTGTTCGTCGTGATCATCGTCGCGCCAGCTTTAATATACGCCTCATAAGCTTTCACTACCATATGATAGTACGCCGGGGATACTAACGCACTTGCTGACAGCATATTTCGATCGTTTGGTACTCCATACCAAAACAGTTCATGCATGATCCCGCCAGCAATAATGTCCACCTTTTTCGGCTCCATACTCGGATCTACTTGTCCTACACTTTCAACGACTGCGCTTTGTCCTGCTATTTGATAACTAACTGACTACTCGATCTCAAAAGACTGAGCCGTGATGGCCTTGTCCCAAGCCAAGTCTGCGACGAGGCGCACGACCACAACCAAACGGCGAAGTTGAAGTGCATGCAACAACGACTTTCTATTCGCTCAAAGTCTCGTCTTGTATTTCGACGAATCAGAGCTGCGTATTCGATATTTAGAGACAACTGGCAGACAGGATGAAGGCGAGTGAGCTGCTCGTAGACATGACGTGGCTGGGCGTGGCCTGCGCGGCAGCGAGCGCGGTGGTGGTGCCGCTGCTTCTGCATCGAATCTTCTTCTTCAAGAAGGTGGATCACGAGCGAACAGCAGGCAGCTGCTCACTCGAGGAGTACATGATTAAGGTGTGTCTATTGTTGGCTCACTATTCTTGGCCAGCGAGGATCGACATACTTAGACTGATTGATTGGCTTGACGATGAATGATGATTGATTGATTGTTGTGATGGATATTGTAGCACGGGATGAGTGAAGTGGAAGCCAAGTTTCAGGTGGCTGTGGACTTTATTGCTGCACGGAGCGACAACGAGATGACGAACGAGCAGGTGAACAAACGGATGAGCAAATGAGGGTACAGGCGACGTAGTTGGGACATGTGAAACTGAACCGGGAGTGCTCGGTCTCTGTCGTTTTGCTGTATACGATAGAAATTGACACTATACGCGTTCTACAAGCAAGCGCACTTTGGTAAATGCAGTGTGGACAAACCGTCTGTGATGGACATTGTGGGGTCGGCTAAGTGGTATGTGGCTTTAGTAGGTAGAGACGTGTTGGATTGATTAATTAATTTTCGACTCTTTTGCACAGGGAGAGCTGGAAGGCTTTGGGTGATTTAGACCAGGATGTAGCTAAGGAGCAGTACGTGGAGTGCGTGCAAGATCTGTTCGAAGAATTCGACGTGCGGGGTCTCAAGACGTGGCGCTCGTCTTTGCTTTCACCGTCAAAGGTCGAGAGTAAGTCGTTGTCGTTACGCGACCACATTTCAACAGCGGGAACCGTCAGTATGCCGGAGGTTAACGTGTACGTATCTTTGTCGATTCAGATTTGAGGAACAGACGATGGTCTGATCGTACAATCTTGTTGATGTCTGTGGGGTACAATGCATAGGTCAACGGACGAATGGAAGGTGAGCGATGATGTCTTTCACTATGCAAGCACAGGAGATTTGGACAAGCTGTTGTCTGCGCTGGACCAAGGAGAAGACGTAAATACTCAGGTAAGCATTTATCTACTGGTCGTAACCGATCGTCTAAGTTGTCACTTGTTGCTGGACTAATACATGTCTGAACGGCTGCCATTAATCATGTAGGATCCTGAAGGACGGACTTTGTTGCATTGGGCTGTCGATCGTGACCAAACGTCTGTGGTGAAGGAGTTGCTACGCCGCAAGGCTTCATCAAATATCCAGGTGAATGATAATGCGTTAGGCCAATGAGGTCACACTCGCAGTATCTGACGAGCAAATGGGCAATGTGCAAATAGGATACAGACGGTATGACACCGCTGCATTATGCATCGAGCTGCGAGCACGAGGAGATGGTGCAACTGTTGGTAAGATGTCTTGCCGGTCCGTACCGCTACGTGTGCCGGGGGCTAACATGGCATTTCTTGGCACAGGTACGACACGGTGCCTTCGTGGATATAGAAGATTTGGATGGTGATACCCCTCTCATGACGGCCACTAGCCCTGCGCTCCAGTTGATCATGGCTGATGGTTCCACCAGTGATCGTACGTAACCGAAGGAAAACGAGGTGCATAGGACATGCAAGCAAACTAGCACCTAATAAATCAATCTATAGCTACAAGTCACTCGAGTATATAACCGACGCGGAATCAGTCAGTGTACATTTGTACGCATTTGCACCGTTACCGATACAGCGCTCCCATTATGATCTAGGAGAAGTTGCGGCGAGAAGCTGTTACCTGGTACACAAGCACGGTACAAACTGCACCGCTTTTTAATGAAACAGTGCGGTTGTATGTGCTAGTGTCACATGCGAAGGACAGACGAGACACATTGATTGTGAGCACAGCGACAAGTTTACCACGTTATCATTGGGACGAAGGATCAGGAGGTTACTTACTCTTGCTCCAGCAGAAGCAAGAGTAGTAAGCTCCGCGGAACCTCGTTCCGCCATATACTTATCAATGTACAATGGAGTCGTGTCCGAGTCTTTGATCATAGCTGATAACCAAGCCACAATGTCTTCTCGCTTGAATTCTACTGTAAGTGGTAGTGGTTAGTATACCTGCCTGTCACGCGGGTGTAGTAGTAATCGTAGTATTCACATTAGTCCGCCAGTTGTTTCGTAGTCACTATAGCCCCATTTGTCTTGCTAAATCCACTGGCTCAAACGAGTCTCGCCCTGGTCATCAAGCTTCTCAGCGTACTTGATTAGGTCCACGTGGTGCTTCACTGGCACGTGGCGAAGCGAAATCATCGTGAGTTCTTCCATCGCTCGCGCAAACGATACCTCGCGCGCCTGCTTGCAAGATTGAAGTGCCGAGCGGCTCTTCCGAATGCCGTCGTCGGTGCATACTGGCGTGACGTTGCGAGCGCACACAAGCGCTGGCGAGCTGGTAGCAGCAGCTGCAACTTGAGAGTACGCGAACTCAACTGTCTTGCCTACTGCAATGTCCTGACGTGCAGCTGTCTGCTCTTCGTTCAGCTTGAACGGGATCACGAACGGCATCTTGTGCTGCTTCCCCGGTCGGAAGTCACATCCTGACACGGAGCGGCTTTGTACCGGACTCTTGTCGACAGCATTAGCGTCCACGCCGATATCGTGTGGGATAATAAAGCCGTGAGCCCCTTGGATGTCAATGACCGTGCCGCAGTGCAGCACGTCGAGCTTGTTATGTCCGTCCGGAGTGCTGTTGCAGCTTCCAACAGCTGCAGAGGACAGTTCAGCGCTTGAATGAATGGCTACGGTCTTCAAAGGGCCACGACAGTCTCGTCGATCTGTCTCCTCCTGCACAACAGTTGCCGGACTACAACTCGACGCTGACGTGGCAATGTTTAGCGTCGTCGTGGTAGCCATAACGTCCTTACTACTTGGCGGCCTTAGAGCTACGCGGTTCTTGACAGAAGGAGCGAGCTGCGGCAGCAGGACCAAATGGCTACATGGCTCCATCTTGTGGTGCTCGAGCAAGTCTTGATACGACGAGGGCACTATTTTAGAGAGCTTTAACTCGTGAATAGCGCTAACGACGCTCAGTGCGACCATAACGAGACCGGCACATGCCATCCAGAGCTCGAGTCGACCGAGACTCGAGAGCACGAGCAGCAGCACGAGGATTCCCACGCACAAGGAGCGGGGAATGGAAGGCGTGACGACGCCTGAAGCAGCGACTTTGGAGCGCACGTGGCTCGTCAGGACCCGCAGAGCGTGGCCGACTACGTCCAGCACGTCCACAAACGTCCGCGAGCCTTGTCGGGACGTGGCCATTGTCGCAGAAATCGGGATCTGCTGCTGCTGTAGTTTCGACTGTGCGGGGTCGAGTTTGATCGACGGCATACTCGAGAGAAGAGAGAGAGGGGGGGGTACGTTGCGAGTGTAACCAACCACCGACCTGAAGGAAACGCACGTGCGTTGGGTGGTCGGCAAGAGGAAGAAACGAAGGTGCGGGCGTGGGAGAGTGGATGGAAGGAAGGAGGCGTCGGCAATGGCGCCTGTTCTGCGTGACGAGGCAGGCCGTCCACGTATCTCGAGGCCGATGAACTGCCTTGGGTTGAGTGAAGTATACTGGACGCAAGATTAGCGAGAAAACTTGCCGGCCGGCTGGCCCGGCTCTGGCGAGATCGACGCGGCTCGAACTGCATCTAATCCGTCGTAATTCGCTGAATGTTTTCTGATCTTTCGGTACGAGGATTGGAGCCAATAGATCCGGCCTCTAGTTCCTCTCGAAGGCGTTTCTTCTTCAAGGACCACCAGCTGGGGCGGTTGATGTGGCCTCTAGCTGGCGCTCCTCAGGATGGGGCATACAAAAGTAGCACGAAAACGAAGTGCCCAATTACGGAGGATAACAGAATATGCGAAACGCAGGGCTGTCTCGTTTGTCGCTCGACGACTGTTTACAGGACTGGCGTCTGCCTATCGCGTCTCCGTCAGACGGGGGCGGAGTGGCAGCAGCTATCGAGCAAACACAGCCAACTCTCGATCGTCGGGTATGGTCGGTCTTTTAATTCACAAAAGTCGGTATCGACCTGATCGTCGTAGGCGTTCATTCCCACTGTCGGGTGCCATGTTCGCCAGCAAGTTGGTGGATGAACATTAGCTTTAGCGAAGCGTAACGGACCAAAAGCTACCACGGAAACTTACGCGGTTAATCAGTTGACATAATGTGCGCAATGCGAGATACTGCTGACTTGGATCGAAATGTGGTAGGGATGTAGATTGTACAATTTGCGATCTTCTAGAGCTAGTTCAAGATTCTACAACTTGCATCAGTGTGACTGCTGGCAAGGCGTTCATCGCATTGCAGCTGTCTGAAGTTTTTGTGAAAAAGGAGACGGTCGAAGACCTCGATAGTATTTTGTCATCGTGCTGCTTGAATGTCCAGTCGGAGCCATTCATCATGAACGACGACGAAGGACTTGTGACTGGGCGAATGCTTTACCCGCGACATGTGAGATGTGAGGATAGTCAATACCGTATAGACAGCTAGCCGTCAACCGGTTTGTTTTGTCTATGAAGACCACACGTGGCCGTGTGTGTCATCCACGAATGGCATCTTCTCTGCTACAAATTGATGGAGACGTAATGCGTCGAAGCGATTGTAACAGATAACACGGACACCGGAACGACATCGTCAAGAGGCACTGCTGTCGACCTTTGCATCTTATAGCGGTAGCGCCATAGCTTTCTTCGCTGGCAGTCTGACGACAACTCAGCGTCAAAAGGCGATACTCAAACGAGCTTACTGTGCTCGATGAAGTATGATGCTCCACCCACGCTGCGTGTGAGGAACTCGTGATCCTTACTTTAGGAAACAGTGGTCTTGGTAGTGGATTTGCAGTCCTGCATTGGCGTACGAGTGGAAGCTTTCTCTGACCGTGCTATTCTATGCGACCGCGCTATTCTACACGCCCAGCCGTCGGACCAGGTTGAAAGCTGTGCACACGTCCGGCACAACTTGTGATGAGCAGGATACAATGGTGACACGCTTTTACACCTTGCCATGCATTAGCAGATCCTATCCATGCATCGTGCGGTACTGTAACACGTTGCTCAGTAATCCACTGAGTACTGTACTTGTAGCTGCAGAGCTCGATTGCTCGTGTCAGACCATTTCTAACACGCGGTTTACCAGCGTGCGAGAGGCGACTCTCACCCGCTCATTTTTCTCGATATTTTCGAGCAGCTTCGTGCTGCCTCAATACTTCTGTTGGCACAGCTGTACGGCAATCAGAATCGTCTGAGGAATGGTTCGTTCCACCATGACATCTTTGGCGATTAGCCAGCATAAACAACAACGGCTTCGTATCGATCTCGCACTTGTTAATGGTGGAAAAAGTGTGTGTGTGCTAATTTCTGACCAAACGACGCAACGATCGTGTCATAGTAGCGACACGCTGATACAAAAGACGAAATGTTGGGGACCGACAGAGTGGCTCCGTCGGTCGAAGCGACAACGCTAAACTGATGGACACGTAAATCTTAATCGATAAGTACGAAAGACGTGCCAAGAAGTGTGACAGCTGGACAGCTTTTGCGACTAGCAAGCCGTACAAAGAAACGTCAGACCGAATACGAACCACGTCAGTCTTAACGAAATAGACAACGCTTAAACCGACAAATTGGTCAATGAATTAGGTGTGAGTTTTTAGATGCCTCCTCACGACGTTTTAGACACCGGATTAACATTGTGAATTCGGCAGCGAATTACGCCACAAATTCTGCAGCGAATTAGTCTCCGACTTCGACAGCAAATTAAACGACGAAGTAGCCAACGAATTAAAAATAAAACAGCCACATCCACTTTTTTTTGATCGGTGAGAGCATGTGGTCCCGTCACCGGCGCGTGTCTTGGCAGCTGCTGGAGCTGTCTTTGCGCGCCGCCAGCACTTGCCACAGCACCATCGTTGTACGCTCTACTTCTTCAGCTACCAGATGCATCTCTCACCGTCTCCCGGCGTCCAGTAGACGTCTCAGTATCTCCATCTCTCCTGTTCAGCAGGACTCACAGAGCTTTAGTCGCTCTTTACAGCAGCGAAGCTTCACCCGCGACAATGGCAAGCCAGAACCTCCGATTCCTGTACCTCAAGATGAGTATGAAGAGCTCAAAACTTTCTTGGCCGAGCCTGAAACGTCGGGCCCTGCTATGGACCGAGCCAAAGAGATCGTGATGAAGTGGATGCAGCAATACGTGACGTCAGACATGCCTGGCCAAGACGCTACTGTTATGGTGATGGTGGCCGATGCAATGCAGGATCCTCAGTTTGTGATGCACGTGTACACGTGCCTCCGAGACGCTGGTGTATCCCCGTCACCCATTACACTCGAGTACTCGGCCGCCGCTTGTGCCCGATTAGGCCAATGGCAAACTGCGATGGAGATCGTTGACTATATGCATCAAGCGGTGGAAATCATGAAGCCATCACTGGATATTTACGAGAACGCAATTACGTCGTGTCATGCGGCAAAGAAATGGATCAAAGCCAAGTATTTATTGGAGGAAATGAGAACGTATAAACTGGAAGCGTCGCCCGAGCTACATGTGGCGTCTATTCGACTTTGCATTGAAAGCTTGGAATCTACAGCTACAGAGGTGCTTTTGCGTGCGTTCTTGCGCGCGTATGAGGGAACTCTGGACGCTGACGAGATACGGGATATTATCACCGACCTTTTTCACGCAGCACTTGATGCCGAGTCACTGCCACAAGCATTGTTCTTGCGTAATGAGTTGATGACACGGCAGTATTCTGTATCAAAGGAGCTTCATTCACGACTTGTTTATCTATGCGCGATGAAGCGCCAGTGGCACAAAGGGCGCGTGTTGCTGCAGCAGTTTGTGAATATAAACGCTCGTCCACCTACGGCTGCACCGTCAAATCGATACACCGATGATATTCATCGGTTTCTGGACGATATGCAGGCAAACGACATTGACGTTCCGCTGGTAGTGTACAATGCTGCATTAAGGAATTTCGGTCAAATATCTTTGGCTGGTGATGCCTTGTCTGTTTACTCGAACATGCGTAAACATCAAGTGGTGCCTGATGCTGCGTCCTTTGCGGCATTGATGTGTTCGTGTGGCACCAACGTGAAGCAATCGGAAGATTTTTTCCGTGAGCTGCAACGTGCTAATTGTAAGCCTACGCTAGATGTCGTACACGCGTACTTGCTGATTCCTAGTCGTGCAAAGGAGTGGGAAGAGGTGCTTCGAAGATATACTCTTGTGCATGATATGCCGCTGTGCACGGGTCTCCCGTTGGAGTCGGATGTACGAGTCCAGTCGCTCGTTGCTGTAGCTTATGGACGAATCCATCAATCGGAAGAAATGCTTCGCATCTTTACAAGCATGAAGGTGAAGGGTATGGAACCTAACCTGCACGTGTATGGCGAAGCGCTGTTCGCTTATATTCGCCAAGACCAATGGCGGCATGCGCTCATGCTGTTCGATCACCTTTTTCAACAACAGACGTCAGAGATGCAAGAGAAACGGAAGCTTGAAACGTTTCCAATGCTGTGGGACGCTGCAGTGTTGGCCTGCGAGAAAGGTGAGCAAATTGAGCGTGCAGCGATGCTCTACGACACAATCATCGAGCAGCGCGTTCTAATTTCAATGACGACAGGGGAGCGTCTCGCCGCGATGCTTACCAGCATTCCATCGGAAACATTGTGGACATCGTTCCAATTGATTCCGTCGCTGTACAAAACAAAGACGAAGAGTCATCTGAACCCGCGCGTACAAAATGCTGTGCTCAGACGCGCCGTGGAGGAGAACGACAGCAACCTAGCTGAGCGAATTGTGACTGACGGGATGCAAAAGATGGAAATCACTCCTAACTCCATGACATTCGCGCTGATGCTTCGTTTGTATGCAAACCGAGAGGACCAAGAGAGCTTTCATCTGTGGTTGGGCAGGATGGATGAAAGCAAGGTGAAGCCGACGTTATTTGTCTTTCGGGCGCTAATGCACCAACTCAGCAACTTGAGTCATGATTGTGAAAACCGGATGTACATCGACGCTATCGGAGATTTCCTGCATGAATATCAGTCCGTACCCTCGACCATCAATAGCACGAACATCAAAAGCACAAGGGAGTACGTCGCAAAGCTCGGTCGTACTGCGTTGGACATTATGGAAGACTGCAGAATCGGTCCAGACACAATATGCTTGCAGAACTATCTGTTACTCAGTCAAGACCCAGATCACGTCATCCGAGCTCTCGTGCTCGTGGAAGATGCGGTGTCGGCAACGAGCGAGCGTGGTGAAGATATCGCCCAGGGATGCGTTCATCTCACATCGCGATTGCTGCACACGCTGTTCACAGCTTTGAATAACTTTCCGGACGGGCAGCGTATGCGCAAGCTCTTGGTACAAATCGTGAAGGACCTACCAACTGATCTTTCTGAAGACGCGATTGCTGCTTTCTGCGCAGCAAACGATGGACAAAGCGCGTTGCAGCTTTTGCAAGAGCTACTGGATTCAAAATGCAGCTTAAGCGACGAGCATGTCTTGTTCTTTCTCACGAACAGCTACACGTGTGAGACGTCGTCTCCAGCGTCCGAAGATTCTCGCCCAAAGAGCGCAAATGGAATGATAGTGGACATGGTGTCTCTACTGTGCGCGAGTGAGACTGTGGCGATGGAGGCAGGCTGTCTGGCATTCCTTATCCAGCACATTGTCGACCTTTCCAAGTGGCAACAGCAAGACGGATTTGATGTGTCGACGCAAGACGAGATCAACGCTATGAAGAAGCTGTTGGTACGTGCATTCGCGCACTTTTCGATCGCTCAAGTGACAGAATTCCTATCGAAGGTGATCGCTCGCGATGATCTTGTCCACGTACAAAGCGTCCTTGACGAGCTGCAAGGAGCTCGAGAATCCCACTAGATTGCTAGCAACTGGCAGCATTTAGGCTACAAACGAGGGCGGTCGTACCAGAATTCGTACTCACGACTAAATGAACATTGGACTCGTGTCCCTGAGTATGTAGACCAGTTATTTTTTGGCCAGCACGAAGGGCGTCCTCGCGCACAATGACGACTCTTACCAGTCGTCAAAGCCGAGCTGACGTTTGCCGCGCCCGAAAGCAAGTCTGTCGCTACCATTGCAAGAGATTCAACACCTCTGCAAATATTGCACCAAAAAGTATGCGCAACCAATGATTGTGTGCGTATCAATGAAACTTTCAGGCGTGCCGTTGACTGACAATGACCATATTGTATCCGTCGTCCAAGCAGCCTCTTATCGCGGTTGCAGTAGAAATTTCGGCAGCGTGGTTCAAAATTTTCGTGGGATGAGCAAACTGCGCCAATATTTGGCACAAAAGCGCCACCGAAACAGAGACCGCTGGACTGCACGCCGTCTGTCGCGAACGATGATACCTCGAAGACTCTCCATCGATCCAGAGGTCTATCACGCTAAGCTGTACCAGATCCGGCGCCTCGTTCCTGGCTTTGAAGTCGTCGGACATCAGGCATCTTGCAGATAGTACGGATCAGTGGATGATTGATCATCAACTGCTGTCCCCCTCCCAGCTACCACCTTCTTGACAGGCAAAGTTAGGAACCTGCGCGTAGAATGTCACAGGGGCTCGGTCGCTCGATATTCCATTCAGTGCCAAGCTTCAGAAGCCTTCATCTGACGTCGTCGAAAAAGCCGGTAAAAGAACACTGAGAAGTCCAGGACGTGTGCGCTATGAAGGATGGTCGGTACCACTGCAACAGAGCGACAGACGGTCCTGTCGTCCAATGTATCATCCACGTGACCAGCATCGCGATTCGACGTTGCTGTATCGACTTTGACGAGGTCAAAGACACGCTTGTTTCGTCATTGGTGGGAAAATCAAGCGCAGACGAGACGGATCAGTGTTGATTGGTCGATGGGTAGGCGTCAGATTGTCGTCGGCACTTGCTCCATTCATCCGAGACTTAATACCCTGTCAAACGAGACTATTTCGCCAAACGCATCTGGCTCTCCAGGACCCTACGAAACTCCATATCACGTCACACTGAATGGCTCTCCACTGCTACCTTCAAGGCGCATACCAGCTGTTGGTCAGAAAAGCTCCAGCGCACGTTACAAATCGACCATTGCGGCTCCCGTCAGCGTCCACACACTAGAAAAGCCGCGCTCGACCCTCGAAGCGCTTGTCCGCGGCTTCCGTCATCTTCAGACCCGACGCCTGGACGCGGGACGCCCTCCCACTCCCCACGCCGCACTTTCTTCGATTTTTTCTTTCGTGTCAGCCGGTAGGCAGCCAAGTAGCTCGTGGACTATCCGACAGTTCAGTCAAGTCCATCCGTCCGTCCGTTCCTCTCTCCCTCGCTCGGGCACCTGAGACCGTGGACTCGTTCTTTTCCGTGTCGAATCAGATCTGCGACGCCCTAATCGATGGACGCGAGGCCGTGCAACCGCAAGCCCCTGCAGCTCCAGCATCAAGGCAAGACAACGACGAAGAAGAAGACGAAGACCGTGGCTCAGCAGAGCTCGAGTGCTAAGAAGAGCAGAACGAAAGCTGGCACGCGACGTTCTCGTCGGGACAGCAATTGCAGCAGCAGTAGCAGCAGTGATCGTCGTTATAACGTCGATAGTGCGATCGATCGACCGCCTGATGTTGCTACAGTAGCTTCGAGTTCATTGGCTCACGGTCTGCTACCGTCTCGTGTGGATTATCGAGGGCTTCATTCGCGTCTCTGTTGGATCTTGGACGGAGCCAATGTGCCAGCATTTGCGATGGACGCGACGGGCCGCATTACGTTCTGGAACCAGCAGCTGACGCATCTTTCGGGACTCTTGGCCGCTGACGTCATTGGCCACTATGTAACAGAGCTCGTCACTGTTTCATATACTGATGAAGTGGCGCGACGACTTGATGAAGCTCTGGCCAACGTGAACGTGACCGTTCGGAACGTGGAACTAGAGATGGGCAGCGTGAAGCTGTTGCTGAACTTGACAGTCGACGTGGACGATGATAAAGTGGCAAGTGTCGTGGCGATTGGACAAGACGTTACGAGGCAAGAGCCACGTAATGTTCGAGGCGCTTACCAAGTGGATACAATGATTTTCGAGGTGGATCGGGACGGTCGGATTGTTGGCTGGCACAGAATGGCAGAGATTTTCACGGGTTATGCAATGGACCAGGTTCTAGGCGTTTCGCTTGTTGAGTTGGTGCATGCAGACGATCTTGTAGTCCTGAGCGATGCTTTGGCGCGTGTTGCATCGACCAACACGTCGATGCCAGAGATCGACGTGTCGTTGAAGACGGCGAATGGTGCGTACGTTGAGTTGTTGCTAAGTCTGACGCCGCAGATCAGTTGTGATGGAGGTACTGCAGGTGTTGATCGCATTGTCGCGTCTGGTCAGAATGTGACGGCACACAATGCGAGTGAAAGGGAGTACAGCAAGCTCGTGGATTTGGCCAATGCACCAATCTTTGGTGTCGATGCAAAGGGATGCGTTGTGATGTTTAACAAGAAAGCTGCACAAATAAGCGAGTACTCACCAGGCGAGGTTGTGGGTGTCAACTTGGTGTCGTTCTTGGTCCATGACGACCATCGTGAGAAGGTGGCAGGAGTTTTCCAAAAAGCGCTTCGTGGCATCGAGACCGCAAATTTTGAGTTTAACATGATTACAAAATGCGGCCGGAAGGTAGACACGCTGCTGAACATCACGCCACGCTACAATCACGCTGGGGAGACTATTGGTGCGGTTTGCATAGGTCAAGATGTTACTGAGCGGATTGTGCAGGAGCAAGAGTACACGCGCCTTATTGACAAGGCGAACACCCCTATCGTCGGTGTCGACAAAAAGCTGCGTGTGACGATTTGGAACAAGAAGGCGGCAACCATCACTGATTATTCGTACGCGCAGGCAATTGGCAAGGACCTTCTTGGCTTTATCGCAGAGCATGCGCGTGACACAGTATCGAAGGTGCTGTTAAAAGCTATGGACGGCCTCGAAACCGCAAATTTTGAGTTTCCGTTGTTGACAAAGGGTGGCCGCCAGCTGGACATTCTACTCAACACTACACCACGCTTTGATTGCAGCGGTGACATTACAGGTGTCGTAGGAATTGGACAAGACTATACTGACCAGCGTGCACAGGAAGAAGAGTACATTCGACTGATCGATACAGCCAACGCGCCGATTTTCGGCATCGACATGGATGGTCGTGTCGACATTTGGAATCGCAAGGCTGTGGCCATTACAGAGTATACGGTGCTAGAAGCACGGGGGACACGTCTTGTGGAGAGTTTCATCCCACTTGACCACCGCGCTGGAGTGGCAGACGTAATGTCGAAAGCCATGGATGGAGAAGGCACCGCTAACTTCGAGTTTCCACTGATCACGAAAACCGGTCGACGCGTCGATATTTTGTTGAATGCTACACCACGTTACAACCAGCATGGCGACATTGTGGGTGTTGTCGGAATCGGCCAGGACATCACGGAGCGTATCGTGCAGGAGCAGGAGTATAGTCGCCTGATTGACACAGCCAACGCACCGATTTTTGGAGTCGATATGACAGGTCTTGTCAATATCTGGAACAACAAGTCTGCGGAGATCACGCAGTTTACTGCTGATGAGGTCATTGGAAAGGACTTGGTGCAAGAATTTATATCGGAGGGCTACCGCTCTGCAGTGGGCTTAGTGCTATCGCAAGCGCTTAACGGTGTGCAGACTGCGAACTTTAATTTCCCTCTGATCACTAAGTCCGGGCGTCGTGTTGAGATTTTGCTGAACGCCACTCCGCGATATAATGAGCTGGGTGAAATCGTTGGTGTCGTTAGCATTGGCCAGGACATCACGGAGAGAATTGCTCAGGAGCAAGAGTATAGTCGACTGATCGATACTGCTAATGCCCCTATTTTCGGAGTCGACAGTGAAGGTCGTGTAAATATTTGGAATAAGAAAGCTGCTGCGATTATGCAGTATTCTACTGACGAGGTTGTTGGCAAGAACCTCGTGGACAAGTTTATTACGGAAGACTACCGTGACGCCGTTGGTGCAGTTCTGTCAAAAGCTCTTAGTGGATTCGAGACAGCGAACTTTGAGTTCCCGCTGGTGACAAAAGCTAATCGCCGAGTCGAGATCTTACTCAATGCCACACCACGATTTAACGAGCATGGGACAGTGATCGGCATGGTAGGCATCGGTCAGGACATCACAGATCGGATCGCACAGGAACAGGAATACGCACGATTGATTGAAAAAGCTAATGCTCCGATTTTTGGTGTCGATTCACAAGGTCTGGTCAACATTTGGAACCACAAGACGGCTGAAATGACGCAGTTCTCGAAGGAGGAAGCGATTGGAAAAGACTTGATGAGCTGGGCTATTCCGGAAGAGTACCGTGATGCCACGGAAGCGATCCTGTGGAAAGCTCTGGAGGGCGATGAAACGTCAAATTTTGACGTCGAGCTGAAGAAAAAGAACGGTCGCACCGTGAACATCCGAATGAACGCGACTGCAAGGTTTGACCAGCACGGTAAAATCGTGGGCGTAGTGGGCATCGGCCAGGACTTGACTGATCGCATTGTGCAGGAGCAAGAGTACACACGTCTGATTGACACGGCCAACGCGCCGATCTTTGGCGTTGATGCAAACCTTTGCGTGAACATCTGGAACAAGAAGGCTGCCCAGATCACCAAATACTCTACAGCTGAAGTGATTGGTGAGAATTTAGTGGAGACGTTCATTTCACCGGAGTATCGGCCGATAGTGGCGGATGTGTTTAGCAAAGCTTTGAACGGCATCCAGACAGCAAACTTTGAATTTCCATTGATCACACGACCGGGTACACGAATTGAGATTCTTTTGAATGCGACTCCGCGAAATGACATGCATGGCAATATCGTTGGTGTAGTAGGCATTGGTCAAGACATCACCGACCGTATTGCGCAAGAACACGAATACTTTCGACTGATTGATACGGCGAATGCTCCGATCTTCGGTGTTGACACTTTCGGGTGCATCAACGAGTGGAACCAGAAGATTGAGGAGATCACAGGATTCCACAAGTCGACAGTTCTAGGGCTTTCTTTGGTGGATGCATTTATTAACGCTGAAAACCGATCGGAAGTGCGTATGCTGTTGAACCAGGCGTTGATCGGCATTGATGTTGAGGAGATGGAACTGCCTATGACGACTGTTGCTGGACGATCGTTGCTTTTGCTCGTTAACGCCTCTAGTAAGAAGGATATGCACGGCAACATTCGCGGTGTAATTGGAGTGGGCCAAGACTACACCGCGAAGAAGCATATGGAAGCGGCCAAAGTCAACTTCCTGGCTTCCTTTAGTCACGAGCTGAGAACGCCCTTGAATGGTGTGCTGGGTATGCTCGAATTGCTGCGCGACCAAAAGCTGGATAAGACATCTGAGCGTTACGTGCATATTGCATACATTTCTGGGTCACTGCTGCTGAACCTGATCAACGACATTCTTGACTTGTCAAAAATTGAAGCGGGCCATATGGAAATTTCAGCAGACCCATTCGAGATGGAGGACCTGCTCGAGTACTCGATGGCAATATTTAAGTTCAAGGCTCGTGAGAAGCATATCATGCTTACGCTGGAATGCTCTCCTAAGGTCCCGAAGCGCGTGATCGGTGATGTGAGTCGACTTCGGCAGGTAGTGCTGAACCTGCTTTCGAATGCCATCAAATTCACGAACGAGGGATCGATTACAGTTCGTTGCAATATGGTTCCATCACCGGACCTCCCGAAGGATTGCGTGAAGCTATTGTTTCAGGTCATCGACACTGGTGTCGGTATGGATGACGAGGAAAAGTCACGGCTGTTTTCGCTCTTCACAAAGCTTGAGCGTACACGAAAGAACAATCCTACGGGCTCTGGATTGGGTCTTGCAATCTGCAAACAGCTCGTGGAGCTTATGGACGGTGACATTGACGTCGACAGTGAGCTGGGCGAGGGGTCAGATTTCTTTTTCACGGTTGTCGTGCGTCGACTTGATGAAGACGATCTTGTCCAGAAGTTGCCGACGGCCTTGGCTGCTGATACGACCGCTGCACTCTCTTCTGGAAGGCATAACGCGTCATCGTTGGAGTTGGTGCCTGAACACGCTTGCATTCTGGTAGTGGAAGACAATGAGTTTAATTGGGAAGTCGTCAAGAGTTTCTTTATGGAGGACAATCACCTTCTACAATGGGAGACAAATGGGTTGGATGCTTATCAGATGTACCAGGACCACCACGATTCGTACGATATTGTGCTCATGGATTGCGAAATGCCGATTATGAATGGGTACGATTCTACTCGAAACATTCGTATCTTTGAGAAGCAACACGACCTTCCTCGTATCCCTATCATTGGTGTCACAGCGTACGCTATGAGTGGTGATCGGAAAAAGTGTCTTGACGCTGGAATGGATGAGTTTATCGTCAAACCCGTTTCAAAAACTGAGCTGCGAAAGGCTATTCGGAAGTGGATGCGCGTGCGTTACCTGGACCAGAATTGCACTCGATCACGCGTAGAGTCCTTGGACACTGGTGGTACTGATGCTTTGTGCAGCCAAAACGCCGTCAACTTGGTGGCAGCGTCCAGACACGAAGAAAAGCTCGATCTGGACCGGGCCATCTCAGACCTAGAACTCGAAGATCCGATGATGATCGGCCAGGCTGGTGGAATCCAGACCGTTGCAGGTTCGGAGGCGCTGCTGATGTCGCTCACTACCATCAGTGAGAGCAAGAGCAACCAGTCAGCGAGTTCGGGAACTCTTGGGTACACGATCGGGCCACTAGATGGTCAAACGACGACCGTCGTGTTGCCGAACCTGACGGAAGAATCGATTAAGCCATTGGTGACACGTCCTGGGACTCTCATGAATGCTTCGAGTATTGTTGGTATGAACATGTTTGCTGCAGCGAAAGCGGCTGGAATCTATCCAATGGACGCAACTGAAGCTGTGCCTCAGTCGTCGTCATCAGACGCCAGCAGTGATCAGCAAGATGCCGGAGAAAGCGTTGTTAGCTCGACGATCGTCGTGAGCAAAGTTGCACGGGCGTACTCTACACCAATGGCCCCTGAAGATGTCGTGATACCAGTTGGTGATCCGATCGATTACTCGTTGGGTGTTGAGCAATGTGGTGCGAGCGAAAGTCTGTTTGTGAGTCTTCTCGAGAAGTACGCAGGATTGAGTGAGGAGTTTATGAAACGTATCGAAGACGCTTATTTCGCGGGCGACTTTGTAGTGCTGCGACGCGAAAGCCACTCGCTCAAGGGATCATCAGCATATGCGGCAGCGATGCGGGTATCGAAGGCAGCATTTCGTGTACAACTAGCGGCTGAGCATGTCATGGAAGAGACCGCTACGGAGAAGAGTCATACTTCGTTGAAGGATGCGCTTCAACTTCTGAAGAGTGAGCATCGCGCATTGCGTGGCTATCTTCGACGGAACTTCTCTTTTCGCACGAGTGTAAGTGGTGGAAGTCAGGAATTGAAGAAGAATGGTGCCGTAGCAGGAGGAGACAACGCCTGTGTTGTCATGTGAGCGGTTATCGAAGAGGATCCCATCTTTATCATTGCGCCGCAGGGATAAGTTATGTATACTGAAGTTATTGGCCTCTCTTTGAATTGAGTCTTCCGTTGCGCCGGCACCCGAAACCCAGACGAATGATGATCCCGACGATTAAAGTCGCCGGCAACTTGCACACTGAGGGGACGAGCATTGTCCAGTAAGTGATTGAGCACTACAGAACGTGTTTGTACAACGCTGTCTAGCGATCCGTTCCATGCAAATTTGCAGTCGTTCACTCATGACAGAGTGCACGACGTGCCAGGAGCCCATGCGATGATCGTAGGCCGTTAATGATGGAGCGATCTGGATCACTTAGCTAACATGAGCTGCGACAGACGCGGCACTCGCCAACGTTGTGTCATTGCTGGAATCGCTATTCCAGAACATGCCAAAGTTGAAAATGTTGAAGTCAGAAACGAGTTTGTGGGGAGTTTGCTGCGTCAGTGGTCGCAGCAATGGTAATGAGTACTCACTTGTGTCTACGATGTTGCCTGGCGAGCTGCTGTCAGTTTACCGACCACGATACAGATGATGCCGTCATTTATTTTACGTAGACCCGTGGTACAAGCACTAAACATCCTGGGGACTACGTCATGAGAAAAGTTGGCAAAGTGTCGAAATCAGCCTCGCAACATCTCACTTCCTTGCTTGTAAAATCGAAAAGACATACTCACTAGTGCAACTCTATAACAAACCTGTGCACGAAGAAGTTCTCTAGCACGCTTGGCGACAGGGAAGATCATAGACCTTGTAGAACACACAAAAAGCACCGACAGATGCACAAAGAGCCACCACCTTTTCTGTAAACAAGCCGCAATAACAGTGCAGTATTCACGACTAAAAACTTACGCAGTTGTTGTCCAAGCAGTGAGTACCCAGTGTAGTCCGAGCCTGGAAAGTGCCTGATTAGCGATGGAGTCTACCAGTATTGTAGCCGAAACAAACGCCACATACCGAAGTGGCAATTCGGCGCGTAATGATAGGTGTATGCTTATCAAGGCGACTATTTGATAACACCTGATCGAGTCCAGCAATCGACTCGCCGTATCCAGTTGCGGTTGTTTAGATTTGGGTCATAGACATCAACGGTCTACAAGACTCTGCATCCGACGTTCTTCCCGACCGTCTTCCTTTACTCCCTCCACCCCCTTCCTCGCAACAAACCGGCTCGACAGTATACGAGATCGTGGCATCATAATCGTCAACATAAACTGCTTCCTCGTCCGTCTCCTGTCTACGTGAGCTCCAAACATGGCGCTCTTCTGCAGTTATGTGACGAGGCGAGATCCTTCCACAGTAGCTACAGCGACATGGATTGTCTCAGTTCTTCCAGCTCTCTTGTCTCCCCGTCTGACGTCGTGTCACCTTCGATACTACAACGAAATGTGATTACTACCACCCCTTCCATCAACACGTCATCAGAGGGAGCTTCCCCTGGTCAGTGTCTTTTCGGGATCGTCTGCTCTTGGACTGTAGCACGAGCACTGGCAGGTGCGCGGGGTAAAGACTGGACGAACTGAACGCAGCGACGTTTGGCGTCGATTCACGGAATTCCGGATAATCAACGTCAGCTTGACTGAACCTTTGGTAAAACACTACAAATTAACGAGAAAAGACGAGCAAGAGCTTCTCACATGTTTTGCGCCTTGCTCACGATCGCGCTGCCTAAAAATTCGCACCGTCTTGATCTACCGGACGGACTGTGTCCTGAAATACCTCAAACTTTATTCTTGTCAGCTTTGCAAGCCTAACGTTTAGATACTTTTTGCTGCTGCCACCGTAACGATCTCTTGATCGGCACCTTGTACGTGTTGCAAGTGCAGTCAAAACGAGCGATGGACATCGGCCAAAAGCTGCTGTCAACGAAGAACGCACACGATTTTCTGAATCTCTCAAAAAAAATTTGGATCAGCATGTTGCAGCTTGACGCGTCTGGACTCACTTGGACCTCACATCGATGGTGAAGATTACAGTTGTGGGCGACGACAGCCTTACTGACATCAGTACCCGACGTATCGATCGAGACAGAATTGAAGTCGAGAATATCGCTGCGGCTTAGATAGACACCATGATTCAAGCGACCTACACTGGAGGCTAAAAGCGGTGAAATCATCTTCCGACGCTGACCAAGCATGTGATTCTGCACGGGGGTGATGATTGCTATACCACACTAGACCGGGGAGCAACCTTCCTGCCAGTGAACACAACGCAAGATTTTGGGTTGCATGTCAGCAGACAAGTCAGCAGCTTCCTTTCGCACGGAACGGACTTGTTGGTGGACAGGATTCAGGATGAGGTGGCAGCAGCTGAACGCGTAAAAGCGAAAATTTGGCACCTTTTCGCAGCGCCAAACGAAGAGTTGGCACACAGAAATGTAGCTGTCTACCGAGCAGCCACGGTCGATGTTCATGGGCACACAACTAGTTTTTTTGGGGTGTCAAGGCCAATGCCAACTTTGAGCCATCGCGAAGAGAGGCTGTCGAAAACAGCGTCAGCAATCAGAGTGCCGTGCTGTATGCTTGCACCGAGTTACTAGACGCAAACCTAGTGGGTCACCGTTTTCACATGGACCAGCTACGATAAGCCTTTGAGTCCTTACACCTGGCTCAGGATGTTCAGAGATCTTGCGCGTAGTTAAGCACGTGTAAATAGATCATCTGAACATTTCTCGCACTAATTGGGCGTGGTGGCATCGCTTTGACTCGGGACTGATCGGTTGTGGCTAAAATCTCACAACCGGCTGTGTTATCAAGATGGGTGATGAAAAGTGTTTACATTAGTGTCAACGCTCGCTATTATGTTGGTAAGTAACTCGGGGTAGTAGGCGAGTCTCAAATCAACTCAAGAGGGACACATGCAAGCGGGAAGTAATTGTTTCCATCGCACAATAAGATGCACCACTCAGCTACGCACGCCATCAACCTACGGCGTCTAAAAATCTAAGGGCCGCACACTCATAAACTCGGCAACCAGCTCATTCGTAATGGCAGCACGGCGCTTTTGAAAGTCCAGCGTATACTCAGCCATGACGTCGATCAGTCTCTGTTTCACCTCGCCTGACATCATACGACCTGCGCTATACTCGCGGCCAATACGCTCAAGCTCTTCGTCATCCTCCAGCATGAACGACAGATATTGGTACGGAATATCGGCCTCCAGGTTGGCACCATATTTCTCATGATCAGCCTTCGTCTCACCTCCGCCACTGCAAAGAGAACACATGAACAACACACAGATCAGCAATCGCTATCGCCAGTTGCACACAGAGTCTACGAAGACGAAGACTTACCTGACGGCATACTTCTTGATCTTGTTGGCAATGTCGTCTGGTGAGTCCGATATGTAAATGGTGGTGCTTGCCTTGCTCGCGCTCATCTTTGTGCTGCTACCCTGAAGAGCTGGAAAAAACTTGGAGTGTACAGAGGCAGGCTTGAGGTAGCCGATGCGTGGGGCTACATCACGCGTCATACGGAAGTAAGGGTCCTGGTCAATGGCGTGCGGAATGAGACAGCGCAGCCCTTTGCGCCCACCGAGTACCACGGGAAACGTTTCTGAAAAAGACGGTACGGCCTGAATAGCTGGAAATGCCGACTTGCCAATGTTGTCGGACCCAGAAAAGCCAAAGATGCCGCGCACTTGGTTGTATGTGACACACTTCTGCACTTTAAGAATCTGAGGGTACATCTCCTTGATGTAGTCGGTGTTGGCAAACATAAACGTCTTCTTTACATCAAAACCGCAGGCGATAATGTCCTTGGCATTCTCCCAGGCCATGACCTCACTCTCCTCAAGCGTCTGGTCCTTGAATAAAAACTTCTCGTCATTCGTGAGTTGAATCACAAGAGGCACGTCAAACACTTTCTGCAACCAAGCTGTAAACGTGAACGGAATGAGGTGTCCCATGTGCAGGCTACCCGAAGACGGACCACGACCAGTGTACAAGAAAAACTTTTCGCCCTTCTCATAGGCGTCAAGGATCACATCCAAGTCCCGATGCGAGAAAAAGTAGCCACGACGCAAGTAGCGGTGAGCTTTGTGGCCCGTCAATCTCTCAATTCTTTCCACCATTTCCGACGGGATCTTCGTACTGCCAAACTGTTCCACCAGCTTGTCGTAATCCACTCCGTCCTCGGCTTCCACGTCCCACGGCGTCACTACCTGGGCATTACCAGCTGCACCAGAGCTCAGCACTTGATACTGAAACTCCATCTGTCGAACCAGCAGATCAGCGTCCGAGGGCACAGCTGCACTCTCCACTGGCTTGGCACTTTCCGAAGCCTTGGCGTTCTTCTGCTTGAGCTTAGGGGTCTTAGCAGCGCTCCCAGCCGCCTTCTTGGCTGCCTGTTCCGCCAACTTCTTCTCCTTCTTCATCTGACTCTTTGACTTGATCGCCCCGTCTACTGCCGGCACAGCGCTCGTCTTGACTTTCTTGGGCATCGCCGGCGGCGCATAGTCGGTACCTGTCAGCGTCTTGTACTGCGTCTTGAGCGCCAGCAACTCTCGCACTTGCACTGCAATCTGATCAGCATTACGAGCGTCTTTTGCTGCCTTGAGCTCGCGGATAGCGGTGCCCGTCGCCACGATCTGGTCGATCAATTCAGGCGCCTCCATGCTGCCAGCTTTTCCGGGATGCGCGACTTTGGGAGCCATACGTCAGATGGCGAGCACTGATTGGACAAAATAGCGATACCGAGTCGTCACACGTCGCAGACATCACGTAAGACGAGAAGTGAGGTTTAACTATGATGTGTTTATGCTGTGTTTTTTGTCCAGCAGTTTTGCGCTATCCGTCAAGATACAACATACGAGGTGCATGATAACAGCGTCCAATACGAATGACATGAATGCAATGATTACCACTTCATACAGTGGTCCAGAATGTACGGCGTAAAGTACGTGATCAAGACGCTCGCGCCAGCACGCAGCAGGCCAAGATGAGCTTCACGCACGACGCTTTCGAGCGAGTTCGTCGAGTCTCCATAGTCCTTCACCATCTTGTACTCGCCTGAAACGAGGTAGCAGACCACGGGGACCGTCTTCTTGGCGGCAAAGCTAGCAACAATGTCCGAATAAAACAGCGACGGCTTGACAATCACGCTGTCTGCACCTTGCTGGACATCCCGATCGAAGGCCAGCGCTGCATGGCTCGTGCTGCCCACTGGATGTTGGTACCGTTTGCGGTCGCCCTGGAACGTCGACTCGACTGCGTCACGGAACGGGGCGTACATCACCGAAGCTTTCTTGGACGTGTACGCCATGATCGACACGTGCTCGAATCCGTGTTCATTGTAGATTTGGCGGATCGCGCCAATGCGATTGTCCATCATGTCTGAAGGACAAACGACGTGGGCCCCGGCCTTGGCATAAGCCAGTGCAATGCTCGAGAGCCGCTCCAATGTCCGTGCATTGTCCAGCACGTGCTCTCCATCTACCACCCGCAGGATCCCACAGTGTCCGTGGTCAGTATACTCGCACATACACACGTCACAGGCCACGAGCAGCTCCGGAAGCTCCTTGCGCAGCACCGCTGTGCACTTGATCACTGGTGTAGCCATGTCGTCTGCCATGGAGCCGTGGCCGTCCTTGGTATCCACGACGCCGAAGAGCATGACGCTCGTCAGTCCTTTGGCTACGAGGACGCGCAGATGCGCGATTAGGGTTGGGAATGTGCCGTCGACGCCTTGTCCCCATTGCCGCTCGGGCTCCAGACCACGGATCGACTTGTCCTCGTGGCGCAGCGTCACAAAAAGTGGGTACATGAGCTGCGACGGGTGGAGATGCGGCTCGCTCCATGCGCGTTGCGTCGGGTGGTGTAGACTCGAGTGGAGAGAGTCCATGGATAGAACTGGACGGTGGTGGGTCGATCGATTAATGGACGGACGGACGGATGATTCGGGAGGGTAGATGTAATGGAACCTATGTGTGGATCTGCTCAGCTGATGCAATGGGCTTTTTTGACGACGTCAATGCTAAGCTGCAGTGTAATACGTGAAACACAGGATGCGAGCTGGTATACACGTGTATACTTCTGTGGCATGTGACGAATATCAGTCAATCGCCTGCGAGTGCGTCTGCAACATGTTCTGTGCTGTCATTGATTCTGGACTAAAAACGTGAAGCGTGGTATTGTTAAAAAAAAAATTAAAAAAGGGACCCGCGTCCTAATAACGTGGCTACATAATTTAGGGATTGGCTTCACGGTCGTTTTTGCATCGTTTTTTTTAAAATTTATTCAGAAAAAACCCAATGAGTTGAGAATCCTTACAAACCTGGTTTTTCGTTTAACCTTTGTACAGTCCGTAGCGCAGTTCTCACCCGTCAGCCTCGCACTCGTTAAAATGAGTCGTGTTATGTCCGACTAAAGCGATGATAGTAACGGGGTAGCCCGTTACATGATGTTGACACCAAACGGTGTCAATAGAGAGATTGTCTAGCGTGACGATTCCCTACCTATTTATCCGAGATAGATAATATTGAAGGAACATTATCCTCTTTGTAGGATAATGTTAATGCGCTGCTCAAAGATTGGTCGATAAAAGACATATCAACCATCGATTACCACCGATCGCTGCTATACGCGCGTAATGAGTGGTGAGTAGGTTGTCGTCATGCGACAATGTAGATTAATATAGTTAGATAAAGACTGAAGTTATATTGATGGATTAACTATATTTAATACAGTTCTCTTTTACCCTTTACTCAGCTTAGTCGTTGAGTAGACTAGCTTCCTCTGCACGTACTAGTGTACGTGAATTTTCGTGGCACCCAGACAAAGGGGGCCCCGTTACACCTGGTAGCACTTCGTAGTCCGTTCAACGACTACTTAGTGTCCATCCAACATGAACATGTTGGACGTAGAAGACGACAGCTTTCACGTCACACTGAAGGCTACTCCCATTTGAGTGACTCAGAATTGGAGGTAGTCGGCCGCATAAGTGTGCTCATGGGCGAACCCGCCATCAGTGGTATGTTGGAGTCTCTAAGCAGAAACCAGCAACATGCTGCTATCAACAAGTTCCTACAAGGGGAACTTGCCGTCGAAAGACGAAGATAGCCTTGCTACAGCAGCAAAGCTCTCATCAGTCGATGGGTGGGCCGACGCACATGCGTCGACCCGAAACCTTGAAGATTGATATCTCATGGTATACGGGAACCGATGAAGATTCCTTTTTAAAATGGTTCGTCAAGTAAGACGATGCCATCAGGGCCCGTCACATCGAGGGCGAAGAGATCACCTTCGCCCTGTCAAATTTGACGGGACGAGCAGAGACTTGGTTCTTAGGACTCAAGCTTCACGACCCAAACGTGTTTGAGTCGTTGGAGATCTTGAAGTCTCGGCTAAAAGAGACGTTTGAGCCGCCGAGAGCCGAGTGCAGAGTACGCTCTGCACTCTTGAGGCTCAAGCAAGGTAAGCGTGATGTGCATGTTTATGCACAACACCTGAGCTACCTTGCGAGTTGCGTCATGGAAAACCCTGTTAATGAGCACACACTCATCAACGTGTTCATCCACGGCATTGTGTATGGGCCGGTGAAGACGTACATGTTCCGAGAGGACTTCCATACGCTGGAAAAGGTGGTAGCGTATGCGGAACTAGAACACTTCAGCCTGAGACAGTCTCAGGCTAACTAGTCAAAATATCGTCCGACGAGACGACAGAAAACAGAAGTTCCCGAACCAATGGACCTCTGTTACCTCGAGAGCGAGAACTTTCGCCATCCGAGTCACAAGCGAACGGCAAGATGCCATCGCTGTTAGAAGATTGGACACTACGCTCATGAGTGTAGTGTCCCAAGCACCGCATCACGTCCAAAGACAGGACGTGATGACCGCCGTTGGCCGAGGAAAGGTCCAAGGCGCGGATCCGACCATGTCGCTAAGCCGCGACAGCAAGTCGGATCGCTAAAAAACGGTCAGGGTCAGTAGGGGCAGAGCACCCTGCTGATCCAGCAACGTCAAGAGAATTTGAAGGACGCTTGACGAAGATTGCTCCCAACAAACAGTCGCTGTGTGTTACTGCCCCTAGTGATGAGGAGTCTCTCATCACTTTGAAGATAGAAGTGACAAGTGGAATGTCACTTCGCGCCCTAGTTGACTGTGGGGCGTCGAACAGTTTTATCCGACGCCAGTCGCTAGAGGATAGTAGGCTTAACTATGTTGAGCGAAGGCATCCCTCTAACGAGGATGATATTGTGCCTTGCAACAGGCTCATCCGTAACAGTGGACAAACGTGATGTGGAAATCCACTGCACGCTTGAAGGAAAGCAGTACGATGATGACTTCATCGTACTAGATTTGGATGACAAATCTGATGTCATCCTCGGTCTGCCATGGCTTAGAAAATACCAGCCACGGATCAGCCGGCAGCATCTATCCGTGAAGATGCCTGCCGTTTGTTAATCAGATGGCCATTTGATAAACGTCTTGGAGCGTCCGACAGCGTGTGGATGTACTAAGGGTGAGTGCGATAGACTCACTTGTGGTACGGTCGCTTGTACGATTGCACAAGATCACAGTGTAGAAGGCCAACACACTGTAAAACCAGCTTCCGGCACCTGTGTAGAGACACAGGCTGCACCGAAGGTTCACCACTCGAAGAGATCGAGTGGACTAGAACACGGAGGCACACCAAGAAAAGTGCATCCGAGAAGAGAGATTAGTGTTGTTCAGGATGAACAACACGTTGAAGCGAGATCGACTATCAGAGAGTCGGTCGTAAAGCAAGCCCGATCGATTGAAAGAGAGTCGATCGAAGAGGACGTGATCGTGGTAGTACACTTACGGTCAGTACACGTAATAGAAGAAAGTTCTAACGTTCCTGAGAGTGATAACTCCCGAGAGAGTTATGTTGAGGGTGTGGATCCCCAACCACCTGCGGATGTGTTTTCCCAGGAAATCACCGAGACAGTGAATGTCTTGGTGAATGACGGATCGATTGTAGGCGCTTATACACTTGATCTGGCTACGCCCCCGAAGTCAGCTTCGGAGGTAGTCAAGTTGCCAACGCTAGAATCTAAAATATTCTTGCGAGATCTGCGTAGTGACAAGATCAAGCAGATCTGCGTACTCGTCTCAGAGGACGAGTACGTCGCGGATATTCGGTCTGCACAAGTGTTTAATGAGAACGAACGGGTTCTCAGTAGCTCATCGATGGATGATAGTGTCCTCGATGAGAAGACCCGGATTGAGCGATACACGTCTCAACTTTGGAAGTCTTTGTAGACAAATTCTTTGTATAAGGATTTGGTCGAATTCAGGGTTGTTTTCCCTGAATCCGTGCAATGCGAGTTGCCTAAGGACAAATGCACTCGGCATGAGATCGAACTGAAATCCGGTTCGAAATACTGTGTCATGAAGCAGTGGCCACTGCCTCGTGAACAGGTCACAGCAATCGACAAATTCTTTGCCGATCGTTTAGCGACTGGTCATATGAGGGAATCAACATCCCCACACATCTCTCCGACCTTTTGTGTGCGAAAGGCCACAGGAGGGTGGCGGATAGTGCACGCGTTCAACAAATTGAACGCTGCAACGGTACCGGCTCAACCACCGATACCGAGGAAGGACGTCATCATTGATGTTATGACAAAGAGTACCGTCTTTTCGTCCATGGATCTGATGGATGGATTCTATCGGATCCTCATACGTGAACGAGACATACTGTACACAGCAGCGAGCACTACCAGCGGTCTGCTCTGGGAGTGGCTAGTAATGCCACATGGGCTAAGTAACGCCCCGCAACGTTCAATAGATGTGTTACGAATCGGTTGGGATCGGTGCGCGACTTCGCACCGAGTTAATCCGACGATGTCTTCGTCCATAGCCGGTCTATGGATGGAAAGACGGACGTGGAGGTTCTTAAAATTCACGTCCGTAAGGTTCTTACACTAATGCGAGCGCAAAGTTGTTTGCGAACCTCAAGAAGTGTACATTCGCAGCGAACAAAATACCACTTCTTGGCTGCATTGTGGCTAAAAACTGTGTACGCCCTGATCCGGAAAAGATCAAGGCGATAAGCGACTGGCCTGTGCCAGTCGACGTCAAGGGACTTCGAAAGTTTCTTGGCTTGACGGCGTACTTGCACAAATACTCGCGCAACTATGCCGAGATGACCGTACATCTCTCTCGTTTGCTAAAGAAAAACGAGAGGTGGTCATGGAGCGTTGAGTGTCAGCACTCCTTTAAAGGCATCAAGAAATGCTTGGTGCAATCGACTTTTGTTGGCGATTGTCGACCAGGATAGACCATTTCATGTGGTCTGTGACGCCAGCGATTTTGCAATCGGCTGCGCGTTAATGCAGTACGACACAGACGGCGTTGAGCGCGTCGTCTGTTATCAATCGCGTCAGCTGCAAGCAGATGAGCATAATTATCTGATGCATGACAAGGAACTCCTTGCCATGAAATATGCACTGGCCAAGTTTCGGGTAAATCTCTTAGGAGGCAGGCCCTTCATCGTTTATGCCGACCATGCGTCATTACGCACGGCCGTAAACAGTCCACACCTCTCGCAACGTATGGCGAGGTGGCTGTATTTCTTCGCGTAGTACAAATTCTCCGTTGAGTATAAACCAGGACGACTTAATGTTGTCGCTGATGCTCTTTCGCGTCGGCCCGATTTCGAGCCGACTGCTTAACCGAACATTAGGGGTGATCCCACTGTAGCAACACTAACAGTGAGTGTTCCGTCGTCAAATCTGCTCGACGACGTGCGAAAAGCATACGCAGAAAAAGAGTCTCTCATGCGATTGATGGAACACGTATCTAATCCGTGCAGTCAATTTTTGAAAAGCTTGTTTTCTCAATACCGCTCTTTAACCGAACGGTATTCTGTTCG